GGTTTACAACTTTCAGAGTTGTTTACGTTTTTACTGTTAGTAAAAACGTTCCTCAGGTTCAGTTTCCTTACTGATTCGAAATCTCCTTGGGAGTACAATTTCCGAGATGCTCTGATTGGTCGAAATTTTCTGTTTCCTGATTGGTCGAAATTCGCGCACATTGCGAATTTCGGAGACAAGTAATTTCGGTCGATCGGAATCGCTCTGCTCGACGATGCCTCTTTCGAGCTTAATTCCGTCGACCAGCGTTTCGTCGAAACGCTGTTTTCTCCAATTCCGTCGACCTGCAAGGCTCGATTTTGACGCCGATTTGCTCCCCTCGACAAGTGCCTTGTCGACGGGTAGTTGCGTAGAGCAGAAACAACACTTCAATTTCGACGACTTAATCTTCTCGAAAATCGACCCGTCGAACAGAGATAAAAGTCTCTGAAGTCGCCGATGACCACGAAACGAACACCGTTGTGCTCCGAAAGGCATGGCCGACTTCGCCCAAGCGAGGGCGGGGCCTTTTCTCCTCGACACCGACAACGGCGTCACACTTCTTCGACGTCCTCCGACGTCGCCCTGCGAGGACCCTACAGCCGCCGACGACTGCAGCCCTCGCGCATGAACGCCGCCGACTTAACCGGCGTGTATCACTCCTCTCTGCCTCGACGTGCCTCCCGCACTGCTGCCGACTTGGTCACCACCGGCGTTGACGCCCACGTCGACGCTGCCTGCAATGTTCACCGGACAAGGAGAAGCTGGTCGAGAAGGCTGCCCTGTCGCCCACACAGCGTCGATGCCAGCCTCGACGACCGCCCAGGGGAGAATCTCCCCATACTCGCGAGCCTCATGGCGTCTCCTCGCGTCCTCCAGCCGTGCCTCCAGGGTGTCTACAACGCCCGCCTGCACTACGAGGTCCACCATGGCGTCTAGCACAGCTGCCACCCTACGGACAACTTAGGTAAGTGCAAAAGTCGGCTAAACCGAAGGCTTTGTTGCGGTGCCGTCCACGCTCACCGCACCATGCGGAGATGACTCTAGCAACGGGAGCTAGTCTACAGGCTAGGCACGGGGTAGGAGTTATCACTGCGTTCGTTCCTTAGTCGTTCACTTCTGCTCACTCTACTTGCGCATTCACAGGGAAAGTTGGCAAGAGTTTCACTAGCAAAAGTTTACAACAATAGTTCAGGATGATAGCAACAAAGTTGGCTAGGCTGACTACATCAGAGCTAGCATGCAAGCAGGACGACTGCCAGCGCAGCACGGTCGACCGCGTTCCAGCACGACTTGGTCGACGGCGCTCCAGCAGTGAAAAGTTGAGGCCCGCCAACACTGCAAGTCGACGGCGTGCCAATGCTGCAGCAAGTCGGCTGCACAGCGTTGCACCCGCAGGACAGCAGCGCACCTGCTTCGCAGGTGCTCGCAGTTGATTGGCGTGCCACGTCTTTGTCACCTGCACAGCGCACACACTATATCGTCCTCGTGCTGGCGATTACACCTGATCAGCCACGTCGACCTCGGGATACCACCACCGAGGTCGGCCTCGCCAAAACCACCTGGGCGACCGTCGCAGTCCTCCGCAGAACCCCGTCGCGCGGGTAACCTGGACGACCGGGCAACCACCACGTCGACCAGCTCCTCCTTGTGCCCGTCGCCCACGCAGTTCGACGACCACCGCTGGTCAACCACACCAAGTCGACCGTGCACCTGGTCGACCAACTCCAGGTCGACCACACCCCTGGTCGACCAACTCCAGGTCGACCAGCGTAGCTGTCAGCCGACCACACCAAGTCGGCTGCCCCAAGTCGGCGTCACCAAGTCGACGCCCTCCACAGGTCGACTTCCCAAGTCGACCACCCGAAGTTGGCGCCCTCCCAAAGTCGGCGCCTTTACAGTGGCCTCCGTGCAAGTGGACCAGCCCCGTCGACCAGCTCGCCCACTGCTGCAGGTCGGCTGCATCCCCCGCACACCCGACCACGAAGTCGGCTCCGCCCAAGCAAAGTCGGGGCCAAACAACACTCCCGTTGACAATGGGGGTGTGACGTGACAAGTGGGGCAGGTTGGGGGTGACGTGTCGGAGGTAGGGGGGTGTGAGGTGGCAAGTGGGGCGGGTTGGGGGTGACATGTCGAGGCGTGTCAGGTGAGTTGGGGGTGACGTGGCTTGTGGTATGGGGGGGTGACGTGGCTTGTGGTATGGGGGTGTGACATGCCAAGTGGGGCGGGTTGGGGGTGACGTGGCAGTGGTAGGGGGGTGTGACGTGGAAAGTGGGGCGGGTTGGAGGTGACGTGGCGTTGAGGAGGGTACACAGGAGCGGCGCGTGACATGACACGGCGTGTCAGGTGAATTGGGGGTGATGTGGATTGTGGTATGGGGGTGAGATGTTCCAATTGGGGCGGGTTGGGGGTGACGTGGCGGTGGTAGGGGGGTGTGACGTGGCAAGTGGGGCGGGTTGGGGGTGACGTGGCGTTGAGAAGGGTACACAAGAGCGGCACGTGACATGACGAAGCGTGTCAGGTGAGTTGGGGGTGACGTGACTTGTGGTATGGGGGTGTGACGTGGCAAGTGGGGCGGGTTGGGGTTCACGTGGCGTTGAGGAGGGTACACGGGAGCGGCGCGTGACATGACGAGGCATGTCAGGTGAGCTGGGGGTGACGTGGCTTGTGGTAAGGGGGTGTGACGTGGCAAGTGGGGCGGGTTGTGCGTGACGTGCCTTGTGGTATGGGGGTGTAATGTGGCAAGTGCATGCGACAACCACTCTTTTTTAAACAATGGTTTCTTTCCCCGTTTCGCTGTTATATACCCTACACCCTTGCGCAGCACAAAGCCTACACTGCGTCATCTCAGCTCCTGTTTCTGAACCCGCCGGATAAAATACAGTACTACCCTGCACCGGAGGAAGTGTTCGATGCGTTATCTGTCCACTTGTCTGCAGAAGAATTCAAGGCAATGAAACTGCTGTGGTTGCACAAAGACAAGTCAACCCTGGCAGTCTTCAACCACCAGATGTCGTCCATAAGTTCAACAATCGAAACCACCCTCAAGCCAACAGCATACACTGGCACAGGCCATGCCGATTACCGCCATCTCGCGGATAACCTGCCCCCTGAACTACGCCCAAATACCTGGTTCAACGACGAGCAACTCCTAGCCGAGTACAGAGATGGTATGTGCAAGCCCTAAATACCTTATGCCCCACCAAATGTCAGTTTGCAGGTACACCTACCGTGCGATGTGGCACACACTCGGTTGCATTACCCCACTTGATTTCTCTTCACCCCCTTTCCAACCCAGGCCATCATGTGCTAAACGACTTTGTCATCAGGTGCTTCTTCGTGCGAACCCCCCCCACCCGCTTTAACCCACAACCCCCCCCCCTACTTCCCCACCCCAAGGCAGAATCACACCCAGTGATGCACTCGGTGTGAACTCAAGATTTCTTGCAAACATGCCCAAACCCTAAACCCAAAAGCGTCTCGCTACCCTTTCTCCGCCCCCCCTCCCTACCAAAATGCAGAACAGTGGGCCCTCAACTCGCACTTTGACAAGGCCACCGGGACGCCTTTCAGCACCCCTTTGTTCGCTTATGCGTTCAAGAGCTGCTTCAAGAGGCATGGGGTCGTGTTCACCAAGTTCAAGAGCCGCATGGAGGCATGGGGAGTCTTTTCGGTGAGGATACTGAGATCCGTGGGTATACCCATGCCTCAGCCCCTTAACCCCTTGCTTGTAGTTCTGCCCATGTGTGGTCGATTATGCCTTTGCGGTTACTTTCAGTTGGGTCATTCACCCGTAACCCCCCTTTCATAAAACCACCCCACAACCCTACACCACACTGCAGATCGAGTGGCCCTAGAATGCTGAAAATACCTTCCGATTATTCCAACAATCCAGAAGCATCGGTGTTACATGTACACTTCTATACGAAAACGTCAATGTGCATATACTACTGAATAATGAACATCCAGTGCTACTCATACAGTTAACCTGATTTATCAGCCATGACACCCTTGATAAAATAGGGCCTGGTACCGGGCTTAATATATATTTGTTTCCACACCAAAGTGTACATCTTGTCGTTGCGATTCGAATCGAGTCGAAGCCATACAGGGAATGATTCCCAACCGGCACAGGCACACAGAGTCGTAGTGAGTCACTTTGCGCCCATCACAACTCATTTCAACTGGACGCCGTGGCAGTGAGCTGAGCAAGGGTGAAAATTAACGAACTTCAATGTTGGTAGGATGTTAAAGTGAACCTCGTTACACCGTTTTCATTTGTATAAAAAAAACAAAAAACAAGAAGTGCGCTTATAATCTGCAAGCAGGTTGGGGTGCACTTATAATCTAGGACCGGATATAAGCTCCGCATGTGAGATACCATAGAAGCGCATGCGTTTATACCCGGGGGGAGATGGTAGGTGTACGTTGTCATAAATTGCCGAATGCCTCATTTTCAATGTGCTGCTAAAAGGTGCACTTTCCATGAAAGGGTTCACTTATAAACACGCTTACAAAATCAGGGCAATCCTGGAAAAGCAGCCCCACAGCACGGGCAATCCGAGCATTTTACCCTTTAATATTGGAACCCGTGTAGGATCGGTCGGTATCTTGAAGCTGGGTCGAATATTGCCTACGGTGATTTCTCCTTTGTCAGGACCATGAGAGGTTGGTGGTATCCTGCATGCTGATGCTCACGGTACAGTTGTTCCAAGCTGCTTGCTCCAAACACATCCAACAGCGTCCACCCGGAAAGAAGCAGTGGCATGTGGATAGGTCCGTAAACACGGTGAGAGTTGTACACCAGAGTGTCATTGCCATCGGGCAGGCCAATTAAGAGCAACCCTGCTGGCTTCAACAAGCCTTTAATCTGGTGGGAAGAGAATGCGTGCAAGACAGCTTGGACTGATGATGCCAGCCAATGGGGAAGTACCATCCATCACTTACATGCTTCACAGTGCTGTCAAAGTAAGCACTCGTGGCTGTCAAAGGAATTCATGAGTCGTGACAAACGGGTGAGCTCAGATAAAAGAAGGGGGCGATGGCAACATCGTGGCGGCAAGTAGAAGGCAGCACGCATCTGAGAGGACATCACAAAAATTGATGGCAAAGACAACCAGCTCAGGAGCGGGCATGATTAGTAACCGCCATGACAGTCGGCATGCGCTCGCCTTCTGCATTCGCTCCTCTCACCTTCTGCATGCGCTCCTCTCACGTTCTGCATGTGCTGCATGCCGCCGAAGGGGTTGATGCGGTCGCCATAGCGCCCCAGCCTGTCGTGCTCATCCACCACGTTAAAGACCTCCTCCATGCCCTCCAGCTCATCCATTGTAATCAGATGCAGCTTCGGATGTGATGAGACAGGCTTGTTGAAATCAACGGTCGTGATCATGCTGGCATTGAACATGAGGCAGATCGCCTCCACCCACGGCCTCTGGCTGCCGATGACGAGCACGGACTTGCCGCTCACGGGGTGGCGCTCGAACGCCTGCAGGAACGCCGCCGTGACATTGGGGCGGTACGACCCAAAGTTAACATTGTGAGCGCGAGCAAGGTTCACGTTGCGTGCGAGGTTCACGTTCCGCGCGATCTCCTCGTTGCGCCATGCCTTGAGCTGCTTGCCGGAGGCCAATGCATCATTGCCAAAGAAGCGCGGACGCAACTGATAATGCTCAGGATCCGTCACTCTGAGAACTTACTACGAATCGAATTCTCAACTAAACGCAAATCCGCATGGTATGATTGTGCGCCATAGCCTTAGCTACCATCTCCAATTTAAATCAGTCGTTAAGATGGTCTCCAGAGTGAGAATGATCTGAAAACGTCCAGCAGCTGCATGACTAGAATGGTGGAGGAAGTACAAGCATATAAAGACATATAATGTTGGAGTTGGGGACTTCAAGAGAACCATGAGAGGGAAGGGGTTCTCCAAGAGCTAGGGAAGGATGGGAGGAACCTTCCTAGAAGCAAGGACGCAACCCTCATAATGAGGTCTTTGAGGTGTCACATGCAAAATCCAACCTATTTGGATTTTTCCCTAGGTGTTGCAACATTTGCAACCCATGGTAGAAACTTCTAGCCACCCCAATCCAAGAGTCAAAGTTGACTTCATAAAACATCACCAGTTGGTTAACACAGGAGAGGATTAGAAGCATCGGTAACCGGAGGGAAGTAATAGCAGTCAAAGTTGACTTCATAATCACCCAACCAAAGATCCCTTTATATTAATGTTCGAATAATCACCCAATTTTTTTAATATCCCAAAATGAGATAACCAGTTTATGTCTTGTAAAACTTGTAACTTGGGCGATCTTGGTCGGAATAAGGCGATATTGGTATCGTTGGAAAGCTGTGGATTTCTCCTGCATGATCAAGCATTTAAACTTGGAGAAAAGGACAAATATTATAAAATCCGACAGCCATGCATAATGATATATGCTCATGAAAATAATGCAAGCACAAATGGCACGAGCACTCGGTAGGAAATTAGGATGACATGCACTCAAACTGACGTGCATTTAACACCTAGGAGGACGGCAAGGGAACAAAGAACCGTGATACCAGCATGTGACGCACACCAGTGACCACTAACATCACAAACTAATGGGCCTTGGTTTGGTCCAAAATAAGACAAATTTTTGTGTTTCGGTATGTTTCGGTTCGCAGTTGAAATTGGCGTCCAGGAGTAGTTGCGACGGGTTACCGTAGGTCAGTTTTACAAACGGGTGCAGAGGCGAGAGTCCGGGCTCCTGTAACGCAGTAGCGATGGCATGTCGCGAAATGCTGTTGAAAGCGTTTGAAATATCGGCTTGCAGGACCAGGCTGTTGGGACGGGCATCCAAGAATGCCCTGGCCGCGTGGATTACCGCCTCTGCTCCACCTGGCACTGCCACGCCGTACTGAAGTGGCAGGAAATGTTCGCGGGCAGCTTCACCCATGGCTATCAGGGCTGCCTTGGCTGTCAGCCTTGTCAAACATTCGCCTATCGCGATTGGCCGGGCTCCTCCCCCAGGTTTGGCCAGAGCTATGAGCCGTGACGCAGTCAGAATTTTTGCGACCGGGCCTGGAAAATTTCCTCCGAGCAAGGTATTGACCAAGGCGTGCAGATGGGTGCTGACCATTGCGTTGGTGATCGCCGCGTCGCGCAGATGCTCAAATGTCGTACCCGAAGGTCCAGCTCCCACCCCGTTCTCGCATCTTCCCAGAATCTTGGCGAACTCAGCATGGGTGATGGATAGCTTAGACTCGGGTGGCTCGGGCCAGGTCACTGCTTCGTGTACTGCTGGCAGGTGCTTTTGACGCAGCTCTTCCAAAATTTCCGGGCTCGGGGTGCAGACGGGTGTTGACTCCAGGGCCAGCACGGCCCGGCGTAGACTGCCACGTTTCGCCAGGCCCTCGGCTCGGCTGATGACTCCGGTCGTGTCAGGCTGGTGTCGTGGCGGTGGGGGTGTGTTGACTGCGTCAACCGCGTCTTAGTACAGCTGCCCCCATTCGCCACGCTGAAAGGCTCGGAGCCGGGCCTTGACACCCGGCCAGTTCGGTCTTTGTGGCGAGGTCTGGCGAAGTGTTAGGCGCGGGAGAAACAGCAGCAGGCGCCAACCCGCTTCGGATTCAGGGTTTCGCGATAGGTGGAGTAACGGTGTCAGAAGCGCCAGCGAGAACAGTTGGCACAGATTCGGCGGCAAACGGCGTGACAGCGAAGGCTGGCGACTGTCGCAGAGTGCTGCGATGTCCCAGCTCGCGATGGTTGCGAACAGGTCTGCTCGCTTCGCCAGCTCATCAGGCGAAAAATAGCGGGGAGTCGGAGTGGTTTGGCGTGTCGCGACATTGATAGTGGCGGTTCGATTTCGTCGAGCCCGGTCCGTCCGCGCTGGTGGGATTGGGGTTGGAATTTCACCCGTTCGATCGACATCGGACGGTCGATGATCCGCCTGTGCTACTTGCGTGGCTGAGTGTCCTACCCCTGCTACTCTTCTTCCCGCTGCCTCCCTCGCACTGCCTTCGTCCTCAATCCCCTCGTCTTCGCTGGGAGGGAGGGATTCTTCCCTATAAGATGGGTCCCTTAGCTCGTCTTCCTCATTAGTTGCGTCCAGAGCCGTTAAAGCCATTCGTGCTGCTGCTTGATACCCGTTCTCCGGACCTCCGCCCGTCCCGCTAGTAACCTGCCTCCTAGCTCCGCGACCTCCCCGCTCTCCAGATGGTGATTGCCGGTTCATCTCAGCCGTCGCCAGAGCGCGCTGCCGCCTGGTCAGCTGTGGTCGCCCAGCCTCAGTCGGGGCCCGGAAAGGCGACCACGGCGACGAAGCCCCCTGTACCGCCGGCTCCGAGGCCCGTGACAGCAGACGCTGAAAAGACTCTTCCCCACGCACCCACGGATCCCCTTGCCGTGTCAAGGGTTGGCCCGTCCGTTCCTGCTGTTGCTCCGTCCGCTCTGGCTGCTGTTCCTGTTCCCCTGGCTCTCTTTGTCGAGCCGCCTGTGTCTGCTCCTGCTGGGGGTGTTGCTGATCCCCCTGTTCCTGTCCCTGGCGCGCCCGTTGCACCGCCCGCTTCTGTCCCCGACGTGCCTGCTCCGGCGTCTGTTTCGTCGCCGAAGGCGGCGTCCGCCACCACTGGCGGCCCGGCTCCGTCGGTTGCGCCCCCAGCGGCGGGCCAGTCCACGCCTGCGGCAATACCGGCGGCCCTGGCAGGTCAGCCGTCACGCCCCCCGTCGCCTGACCGCCGCCCTTCTCGCCCCCATTCCCCCGCGCACCATCAGGAGCACGCGACGTCTCGGCGCCGGCGAGACTCTCCACGGCGCTACCAACAGCAAACTCACTGGCCTGCCCAACCCGGCGGTCAGGGGGACTGGAGGGGTCACCGCGGGCGTGGCGGTGGTGGGGGGTATCGCCCGCCTGTGACGATGGCAGATCTACAGCGGGAAGTCTCGAGGGCAGTGCGTGAGGAGAGGGCAGCGCAGAGCCAGAGTAGTTCGATGCGCGCCTCGCCCGCCCTTGAGGCTCCTCGACAGGCTGTGCTCCCCGTGAGTCCGCCGCCTGTCGCCGCACCCCCGCCTCCGGTTCACTTCCCGCTGGCTCCTGCTCCCGCCGCCTCGGCACCTCCTCCCGGTTCCCGTCTTGATCTGCCGCCGGTTCCGCCTGTTGCGGGAGTGGAGTTTGTTGCTGCGGGTGGTGGCTCGTCGGCGCAGTATTCTCACCATGTTGCTGCGGAAGAGCCGCTTCTGTTCCTGACGGAGGCACTTCAGCCTCCGCAGACGCGTGTTCCCGAGGCGACACTTGGCCAGCTCCACCGACTCGCGGAGAGTCTCCACGCGTTGCTGCTGATTCAAGTATTTGCTCACTCGTCCCTCCCCGTGATTCCTCCTGAGACTTTCCGCGGCCGCCAGCGTGACACGTGTTTGGACGCGGCGGACCAGCTCGCAGCGTTGCTGGCGCCCGTGTTGGCTGCGCCCGCGGAGGGTGGCGCTGCTGCTGCGGGGCAGCTTGACGAGGCTGTCCGAGGCTTGAGGCGGCACTTGCGCGCAGGATCTGGAGCCGCGGCGATCGGCGCAAGCACGCTTGTGGTCCGGGAGCTGTGGCGCACCCTGACGGGCGTTCTTCACGCCCTAAGAGCTCACCGCATGTAGTCGCGGGCTCCGATTGCCCCATTGATGCCATGCTTGTCTAGGTTATTGTAGGAACCGCCATTGCCTCTATGTCCTTGCTTAGTGTCGCTTGCTTGTGCTTGCGCTTGCCACCCCTCACGTGCGGCCGAAGGCCGCGCTGTCGAGCGTCGGCCGCCGAAGGCGGCCGGCGCGAGTGGAAAAAAATATTCTGCCGCTGGAGTAGGAGAGGGCAGAGGGCTGAGGGTAGAGGGTAGAGGGCAGAGGCAATCTCTCTCTCTCTCTCTCTCTCTCTCTCTCTCTCTCTCTCTCTCTCTCTCTCTCTCTCTAATGGTCCGTATATTGATAGGTCAGGTAGGTACACACATGCAAGGTACGGAAGTGCATACAACCAAACCAGCAGCCCAAAGATCCTATCCAATTCACACTCTAGAGCTCTAGAAGAGGCTCTACTACTGCAAAACAATCCCCGAGGTGCAGCTCGTGTCCAATGCCTCCCACTGGAGGGTTCTCTGCTGCGGCCGCCTCGCCCAACTTCATTAGGAGTCCCACCGATTGAGCCCTTTGCAGGGCCACTGACCATCGCTGGCGGAACTGATGCAGGAACTTGGCGGCATAGAAGGATTTTGGGTCGGCGTTGAAGTGCCGCCGAGCCGCTGTGTCTGCAAGGAGCTTGAGGAAGACGAGTACCTCTGCGCACGGGCAGCCGTAGGTATCCACTGCTAGGGGGAAGAAACCTACTGTCTCCGGGCGCTTGGCGTAATGCTGAATTTTCTTGTCGGCTTGTTCACGCGCCGCCCATCCCCTGCCTTTCTGAGCTTCCGGGTCCCTGGTGCTTATAGGATCAGTGACGGTGACGTCACAAACGTAAACCGCCCCGCTGCTCCTGTCCGACATTGTGAAATCAGCCGTTTGCTCTTCGATGGGGCAGTAGGCGGTGGACTCCCGGTGAACTATAAAGCCTGCATCCTGCGCCATGCTAACGCAGGCGTCCCGCAGCTCATTGTGAGTGTTTATGCGGTGCTTGCCCGTGCCGCAGCGAAGCAGGTGATTGGGGAGGCGGGGGTCAGGGATGGCCGTGTGCTCCGAGCAGTCACAATTCCTGGGGGTTGAGAATGGCAACGCCAGTCGGAAGCGTACGGCGTTAGCGAAGTGTACCGGCCCAATCCGTCTCGTGGGCTCGACCGGGATCGCCGTGATCCAGTCGCCGGTGCCATAGCCCGTTAGGGAATACATTCGTTGCGTGTGTCCCGCGAGCGGATTCAGCCGCATGCGCCTTGTCGCTTGCACCTGCACGGCGTACCTACTCCCGTGGACCTTCAATCCGAGCACGTGCTGGAGCCGAATGTCAGTGCGTTCCTGCCGCTCCTTTTCTAATATCTCCCGAGCGTCTGTTGGTAGTGCCTCCTCACACCCCGTCAGCCAAGCGTGCAGTGGCGTGCTGTTGTCCCGCGGCAGGAGCATGTGGTTCCGTGCCAGTGTAAGCGCGTTCTCTTCTCCCAGCGAGAGGTTGTTGAGAAAGAGCGCCGCCTGGGTAAAACTCGCCGCGAAGCCGTAAATCCCCTCGATGAGGGGGTTCGTGATTCCGAGACCTCCCAACGACGGAGGTAACGACGCTTGCTCCCAGACCCGTGTTTGCTCTGCTCTGCAGGTCGGCATGCGGATGTCGCAAGTGGTAAGGAGCGTGGTGAGCAGGTCCATACCCCACTGGCTCCATCTGTCGTGGGGGAGGAGGTTTAGGGGCGTCGTCCTTGTAAGGTATGCGACCCGCCTCGAAATGCAGCGCGTGATGAGAAGTGCCGCAACCTGGGGGTCCGTCCATTCGATTAGTGTCAGCGGCTTCGCCATGTCGCTCAGCTGTCCTGCTAGAAAAGGCGCCGCGCCGCTGTCAGGCCCCATGAAGCTGCCTAGTAGTTGCACTCCGTCCTTTGAGAACGGCACCCCTGGAGGTAGGTGGGCTGCTTCGACTTCACTCGAGCTCCAGGCTACACACTTCTGTGGGTTGTGCTCGAGCCCCAGTAGTGACAATTTGCTCGTGAAATGTGTAAATGCTGCTACACCGTCTTCGGTGTCCCCTATGAATGTCACGTCGTCCGCATATGCCAAACAGAGCACACCAACGTGCGCATCTGCAGTTTCACGAAGTGTGGCATGTATCCCCGCCGCAAACAGTAGCGGGCCAAGTGGGTCCCCCTGACGGACCCCGCGTTCGCTATGTAGGGGTTCGGAGTTGAAGTTGACATCCAGGAGTAGCTGCGACGGGTTACCGTAGGTCAATTTGACGAGCGGCAGTAGTGGCGAGAGGTCGGGGGCTTGTAACGCAGTGGCGATGGCCTGTCGCGAAATGGTGTTGAATGCGTTCTTGATGTCAGCTTGCAGAACTAGGCTGGTGGGGCGGGCATCCAGGAAAGCTCTCTCTCTCTCTCTCCCTCTCTCTCTCTCTCTCTCTCTCTCTCTCTCTCTCTCTCTCTCTCTCTCTCTCTCGCTCTCTCGAACGAGCCAAAAAATATTCTGCCGCCACACAATGAAGAAGAGAGGCCAAGAAGGCCCCTTATATAGCTGGAGAAGGAGAGGGTAGAGGGCTGAGGGTAGAGGGCAGAGGCAATCTCTCTCTCTCTCTCTCTCTCTCTCTCTATCTCTCTCTCTCTCTCTCTCTCTCTCTCTCTCTCTCTCTCTGTCTCTCTCTCGAACGAGCGAAAAAATATTCTGCCGCCACACAATGAAGAAGAGAGGCCAAGAAGGCCCCTTATATAGCTGGAGTGGGAGAGGGCAGAGGGCTGAGGGTAGAGGGCAGAGGCAATCTCTCTCTCTCTCTCTCTCTCTCTCTCTCTCTCTCTCTCTCTCTCTCTCCCTCTCTCTCTTGTCGGGAACTCGCCCACCTCCCTTGGTACCTCTCTGGGATAGCCCTGTTCTCTCTTCACTCCTCTCACAGCTCTCTTACCCGTACCTCTTTCACCCCTTGTGCCCTTCCCTGCACCTTCCTTCCTCACCCTGCTTCCTCCTTCTTGCTCCTCTCTCCTTCCCATCTGTGCCTTACACTCCTGCCTTCCTTGATGTAGTCTTCTGGTTACTCTCTTTCTGATGAGCTCTCTGCTCCTTCACACACGCCTGATTCCTAGATCCTTAGTCTACGGCATCCTGCTTGTTATATCTCCCTAATGTCACGGCTTGCTCAGCTTGCAGCAAATTACTGGTGTAAAAAAGGGAAACATACAAGCAATGAGAATTGCAACCAAGGCTCCACCTATTATACCAGCTCCTCCACCACCTAGTCTCTGTCCCATCTTCCTAGTCTACACAATATCGGCAATGCGGCGCTACGAGCAGACTAGCAACCATACTGCCTCTTGCCATCCTTCCTCAGCCCCGACTGCTTTGCCTCCAGCTGACATCGTCCAGATACAGCTGGCTCCTTGCTGCAATCCTGCACACACATAGGAAACAAACACGTATGCACTCGTACACCCATCCGTTGCTGGCGTTGGAGCTGCCTTCCTGCTGCCACTGCCTCGTTCGTCACTGCCTCCCACTGCCATCACCCTCTTGCTTACGTAAGTACCGCCTCCCTCCTTCCCCTGTTGCCCTCCACCATCTACTCGGCAAGTGACATTTCCCCCTATTCCTCACCCCTCGCTTCGTGAAACGCCAACTGACCCTTCGCCTCCCATCCTCGTACCTCGCTAGCTCGCTATGTACAAGTTGTACAGTATGTACACCCCCTTTACGCTCGCTCCTTATCCTTCACATTCATGCAAATGTGACAGCTGTCGGGAACTCGCCCACCTCCCTTGGTACCTCTCTGGGATAGCCCTGTTCTCTCTTCACTCCTCTCACAACTCTCTTAACCGTACCTCTTTCACTGCTTGCCACCCCTTGTGCCCTTCCTTGCACCTTCCGTCCTCACTCTGCTTCCTCCTTCTTGCTCCTCTCTCCTTCCCATCTGTGCCTTACACTCCTGCCTTCCTCGATGTAGTCTTCTGGTTACTCTCTTGCCCCCTCCCATGACCAACTGCCGCGGTCCTCGCCCTGGTCATGGGACCAGTGTAGCTTGCTTTCTTCACCTCCTTCCCTGCCTGCGCCACGTTGGTGACATGATCCATGACCCGCTTCCCTTGTGCATCCTGTAGCACCAGGACTCATGACTCTCGCACCTCCTTTACCTCCCACCTCTGCTGAGACACTCCCACGTCCAGCCCGTCTCGCTTCGCTCGTCGCACGTACACCGCCTGTCCCTCCTCCACTGCTGGCTGCTGCCCCTGCATCTTGCTCAGCTGCCGCTACTTGTAGCGGTGGATGTCCCGCAGCTGTGCTACCTTCAAACTCTCCATCGCGGCAGGTAGCATCTTCCTCAGGTACTTGGCTCTAGCATCTGCTAGCGCCACCCACTTCTCTGCGGTTCTCGCCGTCACGCTGTCCAGCAGCAGCCTTGGCGCATCCACTGGCAGTATAGGCTGCTTTCCGAAGAGCAGGTAGGATGGGGAGACGTCCTTCAGCAAGGCTTGCTTGCTGAACCGGTACCCCGCCATCACCCACGCCAGCTTTCGGTCCCAATCCCCTTTGTTCGCCTCCCCATATGCACGCAACCCTTTCTTCACCGTCTGTACGAGCCGTTCTGTGAGTCCATCACTCTGGGGGTGATACCTGGATGTGGTGCGGTGCTGGATGCCGTTGGACGCCAGCAGCTCCTCGAACTCCCCTTGGAATTCAGTCCCCTGGTCAGTCAGCACCTCGCTGCATGCCCCAAACCGCGTCAGCACCATCTCTTCAAACGCCTCCGCCACCGCTTCTGCTGTCTTTGCCACAAGTGGTCTCGCCTCTGCCCACTTACTCACGTGTTCTATCATCAGCAGGACATACCTCCCCTACCCCTCCGTGACACTGGCAGCTCTCCCGCGATGTCTAGGGACCAATGGTACTCTAACTCCACGATGTCCAGGGGCTGGAGCTCCGCCTGGCTCTTCAGCAGGCTGGCTTTGTTCCTGCAGCACAGCTCACACTTTTCCACCCATTCTTTCACCTCCTTGCGCATCCCAGCCCACCACCACCCCGTCTGCAGCAGCTGCTGTGTCCTCAGGGGCCCGTAATGTCCCAGCTTGTTGTGCACCTCCTGTATTATACCCTCCCTCTCTGCTGGCGCCGGTGCCCTCTTCCATCCGTCCTTTGTCTGTAGCTGCACTTGTCCTTGGAACCACCTATAGTGTTGCCCTCGTGCTCTGGCTCTTGCCCCTGCTCCCCCGTCTTCCGCCGTTTCCCCCTTGATCCATGCTAGGGTCTCCTTATCCTGCCACACATCAGCTGCCCCCCTTTGCTGCTCTCCTCCCCGCCTTTGCTCGCTCACCATGGCGGTTAACGCCGCTGAGGGTGGCTCGTGCTCAAGTCCTGGCTCCTGTCCGCCACGGGGTGGATTCCTAGAGAGACCATCCACGTGATGCATGGTCTTGCCCGGCCGATGTTTCACCGTGAAGTCATACTCTTGTAACTTCATCGCCCACCGCGTGTTCCTGCCCGTCAATGTCTGGTTGTGCATTAACCACAGCAGCGGCTGATGATCAGTCACCAAGGTAAAGTGCCGCCCCTGCAGATACACCCTGAAATGCCCCACCGCCCATACTGCAGCCAATCCTTCTCCTTCGTAGGATGAGTAGTTAGCCTCCGCGGGACTGCATGTCCTGCTGGCAAAGGCCACCACCTTCTCCACCCCCTTGTCGGTCTGACTGAGCACTGCTCCCATCCCTATGCTGCTCCAGTCGGTGTAGAGAACGAAGGGCTCCTGTGCATCAGGCAACTTCAGCACTGCTCCCTCCTTCACTGCCTCCATGAGACCTTGCAAGGCTTTCTCCTGGGGCTCCTCCCACTGCCACTTCTGCTCCTCCCTTAGCAGCTTGTTCAGTGGCTCCGCTTTCTTACTGAAGTCTGCTATAAACATGCGGTAGTAGTTCAAAAACCCCAACAGGCGCGCAGACTGGTCCTATCTTTAGGCCTCTCCACCATGTCCAGCACCTCTACTTTTGCCTTCTGGATGCTGAATTCCCCTCCTGCCACCTCAAATCCCAAGTACGCCACACTGCCGTGACCAAAGCGGCACTTCCCCGGGTGGCATGTCAGCCCTGCTGCTTCAATTGCCGTCAGCGTGGCCTCCACATCTCGCACATGCGTCTCTGCATTCCGGCTGAAGATGATGACATCATCGATGTAGCATGCCACGCCACTCACTCCCCTCAGTACCGCGTCCATCACACGCTGAAACACCGCCGATGCATTCCGCAGCCCAAATGGCATGAAGTTCCACTCGTACAGCCCATCCGGTCCGTGGAATGCGGTCTTCTTCTTATCCTCCTCCGTTATCGGTATCTGGTTAAAGCCGTGCCGCAGATCCAAGGTGGAGAAGACCCAGCTCCCCTGCAGCTGATCAAATATTTCCTCTGCCATCGGCATGGGATATCTGTCGGTTGCTGTCACCTTGTTCAGTCCCCTGTAATCTCCAGCACAATGCCTGTCAGATCAGTCCTTGCTACTACCACGGTGGCTGCCGCGTAATCAGATGCTGGCCGTCGGATCAACCCAGCTGCTAGCAATTCCTGGCTCTTTTCTGTGCAGATGCTTATGTCCTGTAGGCTCATCCTTCTCCTCCTCTGGTACACCGGTAACTCGCTGGTCAAAGGTAGGTGCATGGTTCTGGTCACGCACTTTCCCAACTGCTGCAGCGTGTGCGCAAATGCAGCTGCATGCTGCCGCAGTACTGCTTCCAGCCTCAGCGCCATCTCCCCATGCATGGCTCCGCCTATGCGGAAGCGGCATAGCCACAAGCGGAGTCCCCTGCGCTTGTGGCTATGCCGCTTCCGCCATTCTTCCTGTTCCTTCTCCCGTACCCGCTTCTCCTGCTGTGTCTGGTCCCTCGGTCAGCCCAGCCGCCCCCCTTTCTTCTCCTGCTCCTTGTCTCTCCCCTTCTTCCTCATCCTCTCCCCGAGTGGCCATGTACGCCCTGCTGGGTCCCAGAAAGACTTCATCTGGGTCCGAGATCCACCTCTCCGTAGGGTCCTCCTCCTGCTCTGAGTCCCAATCCATTTATAGCTCTCCTTCCCACCATTCTTCTTCCTCTTCCTCTTGGTCTGGATACCGCCCTGGGATCCCCTGATCATCGTTGAGCCTCTCCGCCCGCTGCTCCTGCGGCACTCCCTTTCTCCTCATCTCCCACGCCTCCTCCTCCAGATGTTTGAGCAGGATGTCTGCCTCCTCTTCCTTTATCTCATCATCCCGTGTCTTTGGGTCCGCCCTCGCTGCGTTATCCCTCCTTCGCTCCAGTCGGTTTCGTTCCAGGTGTCTGTACATCGTGCCCACCAGCCAGTGTAAAGCATTGAGGTCCATAGCCTTTCCCAGCGCCCTCCGACACTGTTCCTCTGTCACCTCTGTGCTCGCCGTCACGCCCGCCATGAAACCCATCGCCAGTTCACGTTCCAGCGCTGTTGGCTCCTCCCACACCCCCTTCAGCCGGTCAAACACCATCCCTGGCCCTTCCACCCCATCTTTCATCCTGAAGCCCTCTGCTCGCTCGTAAGCTACCAGCGTAGGCCACGCTTGCCGTGGCTTCCCTATCTTGTTGCAGGGATATTGCGTCTTGTGGTCGGGGTATCGTATTGGTGCAGGGATCCGCGCGGGTTCCAGTATGCCTGCGACTAGCCTTGGCCGTGGTCACTCCATCAGCGAGAGCTCGTACTGCAGGACAGCTTCCGGCAGTACATTCTGCCAATATCTGCGCGTCCGATGAGTTCGGTTCCCATTCTGTGCCGCATCCCATGCTACTCCTGCCGCCAGCTCTCCTTTGATCTCTTCTTCCGCTAGCTTGACCTCCTCCCTATCATCGTCCCTGGTGTCCACGTTTTCCACGATGTATGCCACTTCTCCTTGCTTTCGCTTAATCAGTTTGCGGATCCTGATTAGTTCTCGGAACAGTCCACTCCTCGGATCACTCATCCCTCTTCCTTCTCCGGCTCGCGACATCCCTTGACATTCCCAGCCTGCTACCACCAAATCGATGTGCCCCCAGCGGGCCAGCGCTTCTTCCTTTATATCCTCCACGCGATGACAAGCCCACTTTGCTCCTCGTTCCACCGCCCCTTCATACAGCTGGGAGGGGTACATTTCTTCCAGCTTCCTGATACGGTGCCAAGCAGTGGCCGGAGGAAACGAGGAGGAGTGAGGAGCAGGGAAGGCACCGTGGTGCAAGCGACCGCGGGAGTGGGGGCAAGGACCTGGGGAGGCCAGAGACAAGGAGACGGGAGTTCCTGCTACGCAGACGCGGTAGGGAGGGGTGACCCAGACGGTGGTGCAAGAGGAGAGACGGGTGTGTGAGTAACCGACACGAGCGAGACGCAGCTACCTGACCGGACGCAGCTACTTGTGCAGACTCAGTGGTCAGTGTGTACAGGCCAGACCCGATTCTCCGAGTGAACGTGGCCAGGTGGGCGCCAGTCCGTGAGTCCGTACAGATCGCCACAAGCTCACCCCCAAGAGTCGTCACTGTGACAAACTGATCCTGGAGGACAGCGTTACTCATCAAGTTTGTAGTGAACGAGGGGAGGGGAGACCTGCAAGCGAGCCGGAAGGGGCTGCCAGATACTGGAGATCGGTGGAGGCATGTGCTACGACTGGGCCCCCAGAGGGGTCAGCCGGAGTGACCGAGACAGTTGCAGTGAGCGGTGTGACTGTGGTGCAGTCGCGGAAAAAGCAACGAGTCGCGCCTGAGTCAAGTGTGAAGGTGTGCAAAGCCTCCGCAGGAGCTGCACCTGTGCTAGCAGGCTCACAGGCACCTAGACTAGTAGCCTATACACTACCAGGGACGCGTCGCTGAGAATCCCACTCCCGAAGCTTCTGCGGCGAGAGGGTCTCCGGCTGACGCTGCTTCCGTTGCTGGCCACTTCCAGAACCACCGCCTCCACTAGTGGTAGCACCTGCGGGAGCAGACGTACAGGTACCTACACTCGCCTCCTCGACCAGTGGCTGCACCTCCCCTAACAATAGACGTCACTGCTGTAGTGGCCAGGTGGCAGGAGAGAGGGAGGAGTAGTGTCTAACAATAGCGTTGAACAAAGTCTGGGCCGACGTCACCTGTCGAAAGTAGTCCCTCTGGTCGACCGGCATGAGAGCTCGGAAGGGTTTAGGGTTCCGCCCACTGTCTGTAGGCAAGGCTGTCCGCTCGATACCCCTTCTGCACGTCCTCGCCAGCGTCAGCAGCAGGCTCAGCGGGAGTCGTGGGGGCCGGAAGTGACCCCGACGTGTGCTTGAGTAGGGAGACGCTGTCTACAATGAAACGCCGGAGATGCACTGGCAGACATGTAAGCCACAACCCTTACCTGTACGGGTGCTAAAACCGCGCGTTCAGCTGGCGACGAACAGTCCAGATCCACGGGATCAAAACACCGCGGACATCCGCCTTGCTCTGCAAGGGGAAGACAGTGGTGTAGCGCGTGTAGTCGTCAACAACCAGCAGGAAGTAGCGCCCGTGGTCCTGTCCACGGACGCGGGCAGGGCCCCACACGTCCATGTGGAGAGTCGCTATGACGGGCAGTGGCAGTTAGCAGCAGAGATGGCGGTAGCTGTTGTACTGGGAGGTGTTGCGACTGTGGCAGCTGTAGTGGCTAGGGCAGTGCACGGGCGGCTACGGCAGCGCGCGGGCGGCTAGGGCAGCGCGCGGGCAGCTAGGGCAGCGCGCGGGTGGTTAAGGCAGCGCGCGGGCAGCAGGGCGTGCGGGGCGCAGGGGCTGCAGGGTGCGCGGGGCGCGGGGCAGCAGGGCGCGTTAGCAGCAGGGTGCGCACGTGCAGAAGGGCGCGCGTGGGCAGTAGGCTCGCAGAGGCTGCAGGGCGCAGGGGCAGCAGGGCGCGCGGGGCGTGGGCAGCAGGGCGCGTGGGGTGCGGGCAGCAGGGTGCGTGGGGCGTGGCAGGGCGCGCGGGGCACGGGCAGCGCAGGCACGCGTGCTGCAAGGCAGCGCGGGCTGCAGGGCGCGCGGCCAGGGCGGACTTGCTGCAGGGCAGCGCGGGCTGCAGGGCGCGCGGAGCGCGGGAAGCAGGGCGCGCGGGGCCCAGCAGGGTGCGCGGGGCGCGGGCAGCGCAGGCGCGGGGGCTGCAGGGCGCGCGGGCTGCAGGGCGCGCGGGCAGGGCGAGCAGGCGCGCGGGCTGCAGGGCTCACGGGCTGCATGGCAGCGCGGGCAGGGCAGCGCGCTAGGCAGGGCAGGCGCGAACGTGTGGGGCAGGGCAGCTCTAGCGGGCGGCCGGGTCGCGATCGATAGGGGCAGGGCAGAAATAAAAACGGGCAGGGCAGAAGGAACGGTGGGCCCTAAAAAATGAATTTCGGCAACCCCACTATAGCCTAGAGATAACACACAAACATACAGTTTTGACACAAAGAAAACATGCACTAGCGAGTATGAATGCGAATGGTTAGAGTTTCGCGAAATGTCGCGTACAGTTGGGAGCATCTGGACCGCCAGCGGCAAAAGAATCGGGCAGCTGCGTCGCCAAGGATTTGGCGGGAACAGGTGTCAGAATCATGAACAGCGGAATGAATGACTAACAACAATAAGGGATACAAGTACTAACCCTAAAAGGTTTATACCCCATACATGATACCTCACTACAGCCTATAACCACAAATATGCAATTTGTCACACCCCCATAGGCGAAGTGAGGGATAGCAAGAGAGAGCAAGAACCACAAATGGTAACAAGACCAATCAAGAGAAGAAACAAAACAACGCTCAGGGTTGATCTCAAGACCACCACACAGTCCGAGCACAAGCAATCGGCCACAAGGACAGTTCACATGTAGTCATATAACAGCAAACACAATACCGTATGGCCCCGGATATAACAGCCGTCCTATTAAAGGCGACAGCGCTTCTATTTGGAGCACGGCGCTTATGGCCGGGACTCAATTATAAGCGCACCCCCGGTCAAACCTTTATTTATTACAAGTGCATACCTTTTCACTATTTGGAGTTTTTAACTCCATATTATAAACTACGCTAAACATATGATTTTGAATAAAAGCTAACAAGAGTTTTACATTAAAATTTTTATAGCTATGGTTATACATTTCAGAGTTTGGCATCTCTAGCTAATCTACTCCTCCTCAGATTCGGGCTCCATGCAATTGTTGCCCCAGAAGCCGTCAGCGATGATCTCATTATCGACGTCCACTTCCGCTGTCAGTTGGCTCCGCCTGTGCGCCATGGCGAGGCCGAGGCGTCGAGGGGCTGAACCTCCGCCGTACAGCCGCCCGGGATCACAGCCGGGACGATGTTGAGCTCGGCGAACTTCACCTTCACGTTCTCCGTGAGGTGACCGCAGTAGGAATCTAGCACGAGCATCGAGCTGCTCGTCTGCCTGCCAAACCGAGGCCTTATGAAGGGCTTGATACACTCGTCAAGCCACCACGTGACGCCGTCGGCGTCCGTCCAGCCGTTCGCGTGGCACGCCACGACCACATTTGCGCAATAACGAGCGGTAAGTTAATCTCTAGAAGGGTTTAACAAATCAAATCAATATCAAGCACAAGAAACATCCCTTACCCGGCGGGAAATCTCCCTTCGGCACCGTCTTGCGCTTGAAAAAGACCCACGGCTTGAGCTTCTCCCCGTAAGCCGTGCATGCCAACATCACGGTTACTCGTTCCTTCTGGTACCCCGCACTCCTGATGGGCACTGACCGAACGCCCGTTTGATCGACCTCGCATCTCCAGCCAAAGCGGCGTCTTGTCGGCGTTGATGATCCATCGCGTTTCGATGCCGCGCTCACGACGGTTGTCACAGACGAACTACCAGAACTTCTTGCACTGGTCTGCGGCATCTGTGAACCATAGGGAAGGAGTGGGGAGACGCATGGGTTAGTAAATCACAAGTCTAACAAGACTCTTAAAAAACAAAACAAGGGAATTCATACGGGCGGAGGTCGTCTGGGCAACCTTCGTCTTCATGCGCACGCTCAGATTCCACCACCGCTAAAACCGGTCCGACCACCTTTGGCTGCCCTTCCACTTCACGTCGAGGTAGAGTACCTTCATGTACACCAGCGACCACTCCTGGAGACGACCGACGGAGACAGCTACTCCCTTTCGGCGCTAATCGAGGAGTTTCGCGTACACCTTGAGCTCCATCGGCCGGTACCACGAAGATTTCCCGCGACCGTGCATTCGCTTCCGTGCGGCATGAGCGTCCTTGAGGACCTCCGCGGCTCTCTTCCAATCCGTGAGACACTGCGGTGGATGCCACTTTCGCGAGACAACGCACGCACCGAGACCGCAACATCCAGCCGCGCGAGCCACTTCAACTTCTCTTGGGCATTATAAGTATGACGCTTATGCTTGTCAAACTATGTTTGTATTCTCTAGGTTGTAGTGGGGCATACTCTAGTGAGTACAACCCCTTAGGGTTTCCTACTTGTACTCACAACCCTACTCAATGTAACATTCCTTCTTGACATGGTTTCAGAGTAGGTCCCGGTTAGGACCGAATTTTTAGGGCCCACCGTATTCGTTCCGCTCTGCCCAGCAGTCACTTTTTTTACCTGCCCCGCCTGTCGTTTCTGCTCTGCCCAGCACGCCGTCGCGCTGCTGCCCTGCCCTGCCCGTGCGCTACCACGCTGCCTAGTGCGCCCGCCCGTCTGCTGCCCGCACGCTGCCCGTGCACTGCCCGCGCGCCAGGGCGCCCTGCTGCCCACAGCGCCAGCGCGCCCTGCTGCCCAGCGCGCCAGCGCGCCCCGCTGCCCAGCGCGCCAGCGTGCCCCACTGCCCAACGCGACAGCGCGCCCCGCTGCCCAGCGCGCCAGCGCGCCCCGCTGCCCAGCGCGCCTGCGCACCCTGCTGCCCAGCGCGCTAGCGCGCCCTGCTGCCCAGCGCCCAGCGCGCCCTGCTGCCCAACGACCCGCGCCTGCCCTGCACACGCGCATGTGCCACCTGCTGCTGCCGCCCTAAGTGCTGCTGCCCTAGGAGCTACCGCCTGCTGCTGCCCTACGTGCTGCCGCCTGCTGCTGCCGCCCTAGGTGCTGCTGCCCTAGGTGCTACCGCCTGCTGCTGCCGCCCTAGGTGCTGCCGCCTGCTGCTGTCCTAGGTGCTGTCCCCCTAGGTGCTGCCGCCCTAAGTGCTGCTGCCACCCGCGTGCGCTGCCCCGCGCTGCCCTGTCCCGCACTAGCGCCGCGTTGCCACGAGTGCTGCTACGCTGCTACTGCCGCCTGTGCTACTACTTCTGCGCAGCTGCTGCTACTAGCTGCCACTGCTTGCCATGGCCACTACCACTGTCCTACGTCAGCGGCAGCCGAGTGTGCAGGAGTCTCTCTCGCCGCAGCAGCTTCGCGAGTGGGCTATCTGGTGGGGCAGCCTCAGTGGCGGAGCTAGCCGTGCTAGAGCTGGAGGTGCTAGTGCTGGCGTACCTCGTACTCGTCGGCAGCAGCTTCGCAAGGGGCCTGTCCGGTGGGGCAGCCCCGGTGGCGGAGCCTGGGGTAATACTACTAGAGGTCCCTGTGAGTCTACTCCTGTTGGTAGTGCCGCTGGTAGACGCGGAGGTTCTGGGGGTGGACAGCAGCGGCAGCAGCGTCCGCCGGAGACACTCTCCCCGCAGCAGCTTCGTGAGTGGGCTGTCCGGTGGGGCAGCCCCGGTGGCGGAGCTTGGGGTACTAGTGCTGGGGGTGGAGAGGCACTTGGTGGCGTAGAGGCTGCTACTCTTGGTGCTTTTGACTCAGCTAGCATAGGTGCAGAGCCTGAGGAGGCCTTGCACACCTTTTCTCTCGACTCAGGCGCGTCTCGTTGCTTCTTCCGCGACAGCACCACAGTCACACCGCTCACAGTCCCTGTCCCTGTCACACTGGCCGACCCCTCCGGGGGCCCAGTAGTCGCGCGTGGTGCTACTATTCTCCCTTGTCCGGCGGCCCCTTCCGGCTTCCTCACAGGTCTCCACCTCCCCTCATTCGCTAAGAACTTGGTGGCTACCTCTGTCCTCCAAAAACCAGTGGGTCACTGTCACCCAGCCTGGAGGCGAGCTCGTTCACCTTGCCACGTTCACTGGCCTGGGTCTGGCCTGTACACACTGACCACAGAGTCTGCACTGGTAGCTGAGTCAGGTCAGGTAGTTTCATCGGTTGAGGTCGCTGCGCCTTGTTCGTATCGTCTCCTCACGCACCAGACTCTCCTCTGACACCACCGTCTTGGCCACCCCTCCTTGCCACGCCTGCGTGGCATGCACTCCCGTCTCCTTGTGTCTGGTCTCCTCAGGTCCCTGCCCCCACTTCCGAGGTCGCTTGCACCGCCCTGCCTTCCCTGCGTCGAGGGGCGGCAGCGCGCCGCTCCTCACTCCTCCTCGTTTCCTCCTACCACTGCTCCTCTGCAGACCCTGCACATGGACGTGTGGGGCCCCGCCCGCGTCACTGGACAGGGTGGCGAGCACTAATTTTTGCTGGTTGTAGACGACTACACCCGCTACACTACGGTCTTCCCCTTGCAGAGCAAGGCGGATGTCCGCGGTGTCTTGATCCACTGGAACCGCGCTGTCCGTCTCTTGCTTCGCACTCGGTTCCGTGAGGACCTCCCAGTCCTGCGGCTGCACTCTGACCGAGGTGTTGAGTTTTGCTCCTGCCTCCTCGAGGACTTCTGTGGTGCTGAGGGCATCGTCCAGTCGTACACGCTTCCGGCCTCTCCACAGCAGAATGGGATTCCCGAGCGCCGCATTGGTCTAGTCATGAAGGTTGCTCGCACCTCCATGGTCCATGCGACTGCTCCCCATTTTCTGTGGCCGTTTGCGGTCCGATACGCCGCTGAGCAGCTCAACGTCTGGCCCCGTGTCTCCCACCCGGAGATCTCCCCCACTTTGCGGTGGACGGGCGAGGTTGGTGATGCGTCGGCGTTTCGGGTCTGGGGTTCCCTCTCTCTTGTCCGCGATTTGCCTGCGGGCAAGCTCTCTCCATGCACTCTTCAGTGCGTGTTCCTTGGCTTTCCCACCGACGCACCGCCCTGGCAGTTTTACCACCCGGGCTCTCGTCATGTGCTGTCCTCCCGCGACGTCACCTTTGACAAGTCCGTCTGCTTCTACCGTCTTCACCCCCACCGCAGTTCCCCGGTACCCCTCCCGCCTCTCTCCCTGGTGGACGAACCCCCCCCCCCCGGTAGCCCCCCTTCCTCCTCCCGGTCCCGCTCCCTCAGGTGTGTCTCAGGTAGACCCACCCCCCTTGGTTGAGCCTTTGGAGGTCTCCTCAAAAACCTTTGGCCCAGCTGAGGGGGGTGACCAAACTGCTACCAACATCGTGACCCCTCGCCGCTCCGCGCGCTTGGCGGTCCCTCCTGGCTTTCCGCCTCGACCGTCTTCACCGCCTCTGTGGCCCGTCGCAGTGGACTCTGGTGCTGCTGGAGGTGGTGACACTAGGGGTGCGGACTCTGGGGGTGCTGGCTCTGGGGGTGCTGCGAGTCCTACGGGTGCATTGGGTGCTGGAGGTGCTGCTGCTGGAGGTTCTACTGGAGATTCTGCAGTGGGTGGTGGAGGTGCTAGTGGTGCTGGTGCTGGTGCTGGTGGTGCTGGTGCTGGTGGTGCTGGTGCACGTCGGCAGGAGACTCTCTCGCCGGAGCGGCTTCGCGAGTGGGCTGACCGTTGGGGCAGTCCTGGTGGAGGCGCTGGACGTGGTGGAGCTGGAGGTTCTGGAGGTGCTGGCCCTGGAGGTGCTAGTGCTGGTGTTCCTGGAGTTGGCCGTGCTGGACGTACTGGTGCTGGAGGCACAGGTGCTACAAGAGGTACTGGAGGTGCTGGCCCTGTAGGTGCTAGTGCTGTTGTTCCTAGAGTTGGGGGTACTGGCGGTGCTGACACTAGAGGTGCTACTGGAGGTAGTAGAGTTGGTGGTGCTAGCCGGCAGGAGTCGATCTCACCGCAGCAGCTTCGCGAGTGGGCTGTCCGTTGGGGCAGTCCTGGTGGTGGAGCTGGTGGTGCTGGTTCTGGGAGTGCTGTTCTTACCGGGGCTCGAGGTTCTGGGGGTGTG